TACAATACTTGTATCAAAATATTGTGTCTATTTTATTATAAATATTATTAGCCGTGTGTTTAGATTAATAATCGTAAATAACCTTTCAATAGCAAATTATATTTATCTAAATAATAATGACAATAACATGTCTATTCAATTAATGTTAGCATTAAATTATTTAATATTTTCAGATAATATTTTGTTTTTGTGGAAATTTATTATCAAATGTCAAAAATTAATTATTACTTTACAAAATCGGTATATATTTTGATGGATATTAACAGTAATTTATTTATTACAATAAAAATTTTAAGTATTTTAATGTAATTACTGTTGGAAATATAAAATAGAAAATATTATCAATAATTAGTGTTGAATTTCATATTTCAAAATATTTGTACAACTTTTATTTTTTGGTAACTATTTATTTTAATCTATTTAACCGAATATTAATCGTTAATTTATTTATTTTTTAAATTGAATAATAACAGGAATTTAAAAATTTATAAATAAGTAATTGTATTAATTAATTATTGTACGCAAACATATATGCAAAATATGTTTAGTGCACAAAAACCACTCAAATGCAATTATTATTCAATTTTTCACTAAAAACTATTTTATTTCTGAATTAAAAACTTGTTTACAATTGAATATAAACTTAAAAATACGTTGAAATAAAAAAAAAACAATTTAAATAAAAGTTCAATGGTTTTTTCATTTTCATATTAACAATAAGTGTATATTTGATGATAATTTTTAGGCAAATGTATGCTTTTAATTCAGTGCTATTAAATATCACCAAATTTTCAAAAATAATTATGTTTAAAATTACAATAAAATGTCATTTCCTTTTTGTTTTGGTCATAATATAGGACTAAAGCCTTGACTTTAGTCGATATACACGAGTAAATCCTGTTTAAAGCTATTGTGTAAAAGATAAATATGAATTAATATATGCAACACAAGAACCGTATAATTACATGGAAAACACATTTTATCATATATTGAATAAATGTTCAAATGTCCGATTCATGTCATTTCCATTAGTATTTCAAATAGGATTTACTGCCAAACATATAGTTGTAATCATTAGATCTGATCATAAACTTAAATTAGTATCAACTCATCTCATGTCTCCTCTATTTAAGTGCAAACCAAATAAATGTCTATTATTTGTGATTTTATATTAATCTTATGTATCATTTACTCGACAATATCATCAAAAAGATATTTAGTAAGACATGAATCCCTTTCGATGTCTATTTCTCATCATTATTGTGACATTCAATGCCTTTTGTCAACAATTGGGTCCTTTCGTTGAGATTCTGTAAGTATTTCTGAATATTTCATGAAATTTCATTTGAAATTCAATTATCTTTAAACCATTTGCTGTCAATCTGTCAGAAGGAAAGGTCGGTCCAGTCGTGACACTAACTGGAAAATGGATGAAATATTGCCATCAAATTATAACTATTTGGTCGCTCCCGTTGTCAATAACACTGCCGTTCAAATTGATGTCTCTCTATCTCTCCTCTCCTTCCGATCAATCAAAGAGAAATCATTGGTATTATTATAAGTTATAAAGTTATTACTTTACATTATATCAAATCATTTCATTTTATAATTTCGTCAAAATATGTTAAATTTTATCTAAAACTCAAAAACATTTTAATGTTTGATAACATGTTATATAATTATTGTACAAATTAAGTACTTTTCCCAAATGTTACAAACACTATAATTGTCATCCAATTAAGGCATTCATAATTAGCGCATAATTTTCATTTGTGTCTAAATTTAAATAAACGAAAAGTTTATGAAAAATATTTTCTTGTTTTAAATATAATTACATTAATGAGAGATTTGATTGAATGACACATTTCTATGCGACAGTCGTTTGAAGTGGAAGTGTTTCTCCATCAGTACTGGTCTGATGTGAGACTTCGTTCGCCGACAGGAGTGGACACCAAAACTAAGATACGCCTAAACAAGAGCTGGAAAGACAAACTATGGACACCCGACACATACTTTCCCAATGCGATCGACGGCTCGGTCTCCAATATAATGGATCCAATCGTTTACTTAACAATTGAAAACCAAACCAAAGTCTTTATGGCGGTTAAGATGACACTTGAATTCAGTTGTGACATGAATTTCGCTAAATATCCTTTTGATACACAGAAATGTAGTCTCGAGTTATCCAGTCGTGAGTTGTCTTTACAATTAGTTTCTTAAATAGATTTTTGGTTAAATGTTAAGTAAATATATGTTTAAATCTTATTATC